CCGATGGGATTCCAAGGAGAGCAAGGTTTTCCAGGGGTCTCTGGAAAGACTGGTGTTCCTGTAAGCACCTGCCAGACGATACATGTTGGTACTGCGCTGTAAACACAGAATATGTCTCAGGAGTGCTGTTGTGATTATGTTGCAGGGGAAACTGGCTAGTGAGCAGCACATCAGAGAACTGTGTAGCTCGATGATCGATGGTAAGACCTTTGTTCACCCATAAACGGCATTTATTGATGCAGCTTCACGATGCAGCCTGTAGTGTATTGCTGGTGTTGATCTCAGATCAGATGGCTCAGCTCGCTGCTAACCTGAGAAGACCTCTGGCTCCTGGTGCCGTGGGACGGCCTGGACCAGCCGGGCCTCCAGGGAAGCAAGGAGAGGTTGGATCCATCGGTCACCCTGGAGCCCTTGGCCCGCCAGGTTACAGAGGGCTGCCGGGAGATCTCGGTGATCCTGGTCCTCGAGGTGAGAGACGGGTCATGTTGTGCTTTTTTATTAAACAAATGGCTAAAAGGATAAAAGTGTACAATGCAATGTCATTAAGGTTGCAATTATAGTTAGTTAATGCAGTGCATTTGTTAAGAGTATATATTAATCTTTGTTTATGTTAGTTCAATTCAACTGTTCATTGTTAGCTCAGGTCCATTAAATAATATAAAGACAACTTTTGATTTTGGTTCATGATAAAATTACTATTGTATATGTAAAATGCTATATAATGACTTTTTATTGTTAGTTCATGTTAACTAATGTAGTTAACTAATGGTATTAAACAGAACCTTATTATAAAGTGCTACCCATATTTCCTCAGGACAGGCTTTATCTGCACCTATCCACCTTATTTTTCAGTGTGGAAGTAATCCGTTTTCTGTCAATGTGCGAGACTTCCGGTTCATTAACTGCTGTAGGGAAATAACGAGAAGAAAATAATATGGTAAGACACCAGTTTGAAATATCAAGCCGCAAAACAAGGTGTTTTGTACAGCTAAAAATAGCTGGAAGCGGGTGACACCGGAAGCCAGACACATTAAATTTACTCTTACGGGAAAAATAAGGTGGATAGAATATAACACGAGTGTGCTTTCAAGCAGAGTATTACAGTTTTTTTTTTACAATTGCAAAGACACATTTTTCAACACTTAGGTAACTCTTTCAAAACTCTTCACACAGTTCTCCCTACCAAACTTTAGCTCGGCACAGCAGTACATTTCTCATCCAGAATGCAAAACAGAAAAAAATGTTATTGCAATGATTTCCAAGTTTCCTCATTTGTATAGGTGCATGTAGTTTTGGTGATGTTTGAAAGATTTGATCATTGAGTGTTTTGTGTCAAAGCAGTGATAGTGAGCACAGCAGCAGTCTGTGTGGATCATTTGTTGAAGAGTTTTGAAAGTGACCAGAGTATTGAGAAATGGCTGTAAAAAACCTTCTCACAGCTGTGAAAAATATTTGCTGTTACGTGTATGAATCCAGGAAGAATGTTTTATCCTAATATGAATTCATAAACCACATTCCAGAATGAATTTGTATGTATCTTAATTCTGCAGGGGACGTGGGCGAGCCAGGTGACAAGGGGCCTGTAGGTAAAGCCATCGAAGGGCCCGCTGGAGACCAGGGGGACCCGGGTAAGTACAGGCTGTTCATAAGCACATTAAGTGCGCCCCAGTCGGACACATTATCAGTGCAGCTTGTCAATGTAAAGTAGCTTATTAAGAAAAATAAAAACTAATTTAACACACAGCCCTGCTGTGTACCACTGCCAAATATTAACTTAAAAAACACACATTTCCTAAAGTATTAGCATGCCAAAAAAAAAAAAAAGTTAGCTGGGCCAGATGTGGCAGAACTCTTCTAAGAGCAACCTGGGATCGATTCCCAAGAACAGGCCGGTGGATGTTTCTGACTTGATTAACTATACTGTACAGCTCAAACTAAATGAAAGATAAGCATATGAGCAACCAATCATAAAATGATTATATGCAGAGCTGGGTAGTAACTGATTACATGTAAACGGGATTATGTAATCTGATTCCAAATATTAAAATACTTGTAAATTGATTAAATTACATTTCAAAATACTCAGAATCAAGACTAGTTACTTTTTTATTGATTACATGATTACCTATTATTCACACAATAGCAATTAATGCTTCATAATGTATTGATTCTCCCTAATTCCTCTTTTAAATCTTCCTTTCTAAAATAGCCTACCACTTACATACACTCAGAAGGTCTGTGGACATTCACACAGAGATCAGTCTTTAGTCGGGTGCTACATTTGAGCTCTGGATTTACAAAAATCATTTCAGGTTTAAGAAGCGTTTCAGCATTGCATCAACTTCTGATGAACACATTTTTATTTGAATTATCACTCAGTGGGTTATTTAACCGTGCATTACTAGGTCTTTGGAAGGCTTTTGTCTTTCAAACACATTCAAATGCAAAATTCACGTTATTTCTTATTTACATGTAATGCTGGGATTCCCAAACTTGTTTGTCATCTGATCCTCTTTCACCTGATATATTTACTTGAAGTTCCCCTAAGATTTTAAATATTTTAATTACGTATCACACAGTTCTCTGACATTGGTTAATGGTCACATGACATGCATGCAAACAAATGAAATATAAATTTTTTTAGTTTTATTTTAAAATTATTTAATTTTACATCGTTGTGATTTACACTGAACAAAATAAACGCAACACTTTTGTTTTTGCCCCCATTTTTCATGAGCTGAACTCAAAGATCTAAGACTTTTTCTATGTACACAAAAGGCCTATTTCTCTCAAATATTGTTCACAAATCTGTCTAAATCTGTGTTAGTGAGCACTTCTCCTTTGCCGAGATAATCCATCCACCTCACAGGTGTGGCATATCAAGATGCTGATTAGACAGCATGATTATTGCACAGGTGTGCCTTAGGCTGGCCACAATAAAAGGCCACTCTAAAACGTGCAGTTTTATCACACAGCACAATGCCACAGATGTCGCAAGTTTTGAGGGAGCGTGCAATTGGCATGCTGACTGCAGGAATGTCCACCAGAGCTGTTGCCCGTGAATTGAATGTTCATTTCTCTACCATAAGCCGTCTCCAAAGGCGTTTCAGAGAATTTGACAGTACATCCAACCGGCCTCACAACCGCAGACCACGTGTAACCACACCAGCCCAGTAGCTCCACATCCAGCATCTTCACCTCCAAGATCGTCTGAGACCAGCCACCAGCTGCTGCAACAATCGGTTTGCATAACCAAAGAATTTCTGCACAAACTGTCAGAAACCGTCTCAGGGAAGCTCATCTGCATGCTCGTCGTCCTCATCGGGGTCTC